ATCTGCTAGGATGAGAGAGATCCCAGCTGGCTTGAAATCAGTCATTCCAAGTATAGCAGCAACAGAGAAAGGCATCAAGTTAATACTTGACCCTAGATCACATAGAGAGTGTGGAAAACGTCCTGCAGATATTGAGCAATCAAGCACAAAGGTCCCTGGATCAGATAGCTTCTCTGGAACTCTGCTTTGAGTGATGGTATTGACTTGTTCAGAAACAGTCACCTTCTTCTTCTTCTTTGGAACTGTGCCTAAGAGAATTGCACTGATGTCTCTGGTAAGCAATGCTCCTTCTTCAGGACTTACACCATTCACAACCATTCTCTTTACATACCTTCTTAGAGCTGGTGAAAGCTTGACTGCATCAACAAGTGGGATCTCAAGCATCAGCTTGTCTATCATAGCTTTACATCTGGCTTCTTCTATCTCCTGTTTAGACTTCCTAGGATGCTTGGGGAATGGTGTTTTGGGTTTATAGACACGTTCCTGGTCATAATTTGCAGTTACAGGCAAAGCAGCTTCGTTCTGGGGTGGGTGACGACCATCACCAGGGGGGTGACGCTCGTCACTCACTTGTGACAACCCCCGATACCCTTGTAGGTTGGTGACGAGCGTCACTCCTCCTTGGTGACGCTCGTCACTCACCTCTGAGACAGAAAAATTTTCATCTTCAGACTCCATGAGTTGCACGATCTGTTCTGCACTCAACCTCTTTTTCTGCACTGTTTTAAGCTCCTTTTCATTCCTGACTGTGATGGCATTAACTTGATGCTTGGGATTGATATCAGTCCTTCCAGGAAGGAATCCCTCTTGCCTTTGAACAGCTCCTGCAGTTTGAGCAACCTGCACATCAAGCTTCTTCATGTGAGAGTTCAGACTCTCAATTTTTCCATTCAGGTCTTGATACAGCGAATATAGCTTGCCATTGAAGTTCATTGTCATCTTCTGCTGTCCTTCAAGTACCTGCTCCAACATAGCTTCCATTTTATTGTCTTTTGGAGGTGCAGTTTGGTAGGAAGAAGAACCAAAATTCCTGCTGTTTTGGTAAGGTTTCTCAACTTCAGTCTTCTGGAATGGGGGCTTAGGAGTGTAACCAGGCGTGCTCTGTCCTCCTGTAAAGGTACTCTGCTGATTATTGCTGTTGTAGCCTCTGTTCCATTGCTGATTTCTAAACTTTTGGCTCTGAAAACCCCCTCTATTGATGAAATTAACATCTTTCTGCTCAAATTCTTCAGGATTTTTGAAACTCTCCACTTCTGCAACGAATTGGACTGACTTCTTTCCCACCAAAAGGCTGTTCATGCTGTCCACCTTAGCCTTAACTTCAGCTATTTGGTTTCCATCATTCAAACCAGCCTGCTGCTTTCTCTGAAAATCTGCATTCTTAGTACTGTTACTGCAGGCCAAGTTTTCAATCAATCTTATAGCTTCTTCTGGTCTGTTGGTGTTGAAGTTTCCACTACTTGAAGCATCCAGCGCCATCTGATATTTCCAGTCAATGCCTCTGAAGAAGATGCCAAGCAGCTGCACCTGATTGAAACCATGATGAGGACAGTCCCTTTGATAAGACTTAAACCTGATCCAAGAAGCCTTAAAAGCTTCAGTAGGACCTTGTGTAAAGGATGCAATTTTCGTCCTCATGTCCTCTGATCTTGCATCATCATAGAAGTTATTCAGAAAGGCATTCTTGGTGTCTTCCCAAGTGGTCAATGAAGCAGGCTCCAGTTGCTTCAGCCAATATGCAGCCTCTCCTCCAAGAGAATAAGGAAAAAGCTGGCAGAACAGGAAATCATTGCTGACTCCAGTAGCTTTGACACTTGAAGCCAGATCCTCAAACCTCTCAATGTGATCCATAGGATGCTCATGAGGTAAGCTATGGAATGGATGCTGGCCAACCAGATGATAGTAGATTGGTTTAACCTCAAAATCGTTCCTCTGGAAGGCATGAGGTCGGATTGCAGCTCTGTTGGCATAGAACTGATCAGGTCTGTTGTAGTCACCTAGAGTCCTCTGAACAAAACGCCCAGCAGCGTTATTGACAGCAGCAGGGACTCCCACGTTCTCAGCCACTTGCTGAACCTGCTGTTCAACAATGACATTCCCCTCTTGATCAATTCTCTGCCCCTTTTCGTTCCTCATGTTTCCTTCCCTGTCAACCAAGTGACCTTCTGCATCTTCAACCAAGATAAGTGGAGCGACCATTTTAGATTGCTTTTTAGCGTTCCTGTTAGTTCTCTCCAACCTAGCAAGCTCGTCGATGCTCAAAGTCACAAGCTCCTTCTCTTTGTTGCTTCTGGTTCTGCGATTAGGCATACCCCTGAAACAGGAACAAAGAAAAGTAGCAGAAAGTCAGTAAAAAAAAAAAAATTAAAAACTTAGACAAATCCTAATACTAGAAATCGATAGGCAGCTATTACTCCCCGGCAACGGCGCCAAAAACTTGATAGGGCTCAGGTTTTACCCAAATAAAAACTACTGCAAGTGCACAGCAAAGCAGTTGTAGTACAAGGGGTTATCGAATCCCAAGGGAGTAAGTAAACTACACTATCGAGTTCAGGTTCGGATTAAGCTAAGCAGAATGTAAGGAATGTAATGCAAAATAACTAAAGTAATAAAAGCAAGTGGGCGTTTGAGACTGTTCTTAAAGTTCAGAAAGCTAAAGGCGCTAAGTCGGGACAGTTCGCAGGTTGAATCCGAGAGTGTAGAATGCATGCAATCAGGAATGAATTAAAACCGTCTTGAACATGAATCACAAAGATATAACTAATCAATTCTCATTGCAGAAGTTATCTATGTCTAACTCACAGAGTTTCAAATCTCTTTGCAAACCCTAACAACCTAAACATGCAGTAATGATCAGGTTCAATTGTTCACAAAACTCCTAAGCCAAATCTCTTTGTACTAGGGCGTTTTGCTCATCTAATACTAGTTCAGGTGATTAATAATGCTCTCACATCTATCAAAAACCTAGGATTTTGAAATCCAGATGATGTGTCTAAGAAATCGATATGAATGCAAGCACAGATGAAGAACCAATGAATTTTCTATAAGTTTTTAGCAATTCTACAAACTCTTCTTCAACCTTTGAAAAGCCCTAACTTAACTAACAAACTACTCAGACATGGTGATTTGAGAAAACATCATGAAAAGAATAGATTGCATAAAAGAAATAAGAAGTAGAAATAAAGGAGTTCAAAATCTGCTCAGAAGGAGTCTGATTTGTCTCTCCAAAAGCTCTTCTACAAATCTCTCTCTAAAGCTCTCAAAAATAATAAGATACAAGATATCTGCCAAAAGAATGGCTGAAAAACCTAATATACAAGCTAAAACACGATCTGGGGTCTTTTTGCAAATATTAGAACTTTTGGGCCAAAACTGCAAATAATCCTCTATCTTTTATAAAACAGCCACGACCCCTTCCTTTCTAGGTGACGAGCGTCACCAAAAGTGGTGACGAGCGTCACCCATATGCATACTTTTCTTCCCGAGTTGGATACTTCGTGGCTTCAACTTGCAATGCTCCAAAAAGCTCCAATATCTCCAGTTATGCTTCAGACATGCTATAACCTGCAAAGACTCTTCTAGGACTCTAAAAAGACCAAAAGAACTCAATAAAAAGGATTTATATCATGGTTAAAAACCATAAAAACTATGATATATCAACACACCAGCAGGACGGTCCATACATCAAATTCAACTCACATGAAGAAGCTTGGCCGGTTATATCATCCAACCAAGGAACCACCTTGTTTTCCATCAAACCGAGCTGAATCAAAGCAAAGGAGAGATCAAACCGGATTTCCAAATGTACCAATCCGCTCACACCAAACCAAGGTAAGTTTCTGAATCATTTATATCATATTTTGACTAATCCTTGTGTTTATGTTTGTTTGATCTCAACAGCTAAATCCCTTAAAATTAGCTATCTTTTATTTATGAACTTTTGTATTTCTTGCTTTGATTTTCCTTTGATTTTGCATTTTTGATTCTTGCATTAATTATTGTAATAAATTGGCCAAGGAAGCCTTCAGCTGCTTGAACCATATATAAGGTTCCATTCAGCTATGTACTTTTTACACTTGATTAATAAGAAAAACCCTTTTTATTGTTCTTTCAGAATTGCAAACAAAAACCAGAGTTCTTTGAGATTGTGTGAGAAGCCTTTCTTTTGAGTTCTTGACTTATCTCTGCTTATTCCATAAAGCTGAGTGGCGTCCCTCATTCCATCATCCTTCCATTCCATCCACTGATCAACCTGAAAGAGACCTTAGTCCAGCAGATTGATTCCATCACCATCCACTTCAATCATCCTTTGAACAAGTAGAAAGAGACCTCAGTCCAGCTGCTTTGTTTCCATCCATTCACCTATCAACTATAAGATCATACCTCCTTGATCTTATATCAAGTACTAGGAGATATATCACTTATCAAATGAAGTGTTCTCATCTCAAACGAAGTGTTTTTATCTTTGAGGGTTGTATAATATTACCTTGATCATCCACGCCTGGGATCGTATATAGAGTCGTACGTGTCTCATAAAAAAAAAAGCAAATAACATGCGCTCCAATATTCCGATTCAACTGTATATATCATAGAGATTTTCTGAAGTAAATCGAGATCATTAGCCTTATCAACTTTTTTTACAAGTTACAGCCTCTACCCTTCTCAAAAGTATGTCGTCGGGGTTTAGAAATTCGTGTAACATGTTAATGTTCCACTCCCTAGTCATCATATTAATAAGATGGGTTACGTATGGTGAAAATTTATGCCTTTGCAACAGACCGTACATTTTCATACAATATTACATTCGTGCACAGCAAGAATCAAAATTTTAAATCTTGATTTGTGGCGCAGGCGGCACATTTTCTTTGTTTATTATTAGTACTTAGTTTTATAATTATTAAAGTTGATCTTTTACAATCGTTATTACAAATTTTAACCGCATCACTACTTCACAAAGCCCAACAATGAAAGCATTAAGTTGGTTATTTTAAAGAAAATTGGATGACTATTAAGCTAGTCGGTTTACACCAAACCGAGCCTAAACCGGTCTTCTGCAGAATGACACAACACTAACATAACTAAAATCTGAATGACCTGAAACAATAATTCTGGTTCTAACTTTACAAGTTGAATACCTAAGAAACAGCTAAAGGTTTTTGAATATACAAACACCCAAAGCTTGGCACATTCTTGTTTATAAACCCAAAAGGCTTCAAAGACAAATCACAACATGAAATCAATCTATTTTTCATTTTTTTCATAGACAGATCAAAGTGAATGCAATCCAAATCTTTTTTTTCAGGTCAAGCAGAGTTCTTTCTAACCATCAACCGTTTTCATCATTCCCGGTGTTGTCTCGCCTTGGAGATTGTTTTGATCAATCCTTTGGTGATTTTCCAGAACCAAAGAAGATTCATCACAGACAAGACCGGTGCTATCGTAAGCAGACTGTAAAATCCAAGTGGAAACACTTGCTTCACCTGCAGAAACCCAACTTTTTAAGATTCACATCTCCGAAATGTATACTCTAAGCTCGTCACTGAACTTACCTGATGGAAATGGAAGTACATGTGAACAAAGAAGTAGATAAACAGAAGGATCCTCGCAACCTGAAAGAGAAGCAAGAGATTTCAGTTTTGATTTTCTCGTATTGCTACAACAGAGAGATATGTTTTGGTCTATTTAACAGTACCAGCCAACCCAAGAACAGGGCAGTTCCATTGAGCGTGTAAGCCTTAGAACCTTTTTGACCACTAGCATCCAAGTACCTACCATTAACACGCTTGATGTTTAGAGACCAAACATTATCAAAACCACTACGAACACCGATTTGAGAAGATAATTTACCACCGTAGATTGACAAACGGGGTTGTGGCCTCTGACAAGAGAACTAGGAATATGTAGAACTGGCTTTGTCCACTTGTGACAGAGAGAATAATCGAGAACATCGATAAGCAGTGATGAAACACCTTGAATAGGTAACAAGAGAACATACCATTAGCTTAATACAAATCCATTCACCGACTATAAAGGAAACAGGAGTTAAATGCTAACACTTAAATCAACTATATATACAAATATGGAAGATATTATATGATGATTTTCAGTACTTACATATTCAATACCACCAAGAGTAGGAAAATGCCAAAAGATCATCGCTAAGTCTGCTAGAAAGTAGCCTAAGGAGATCTGTTAAGAGACGAACGTTACTATACTATATCAGTAACAAAGGCAGATAAAAAAAGAACACAAGAGATGATCATCTCTTGCCTATAAACTCACCCCCATTACAGCTTCTGATAGCCTCGTTGTACTATTGATGACTAAATCTCCATGAACATTCTCATCAAACTGATCTGATATCACCAGGAGATAGATTGAAGCCACAGACACCAAGACAGCATGGAAAGTTGAGAATCCCCTGTGAGATAGAAAAAATCTCTTCCTCAGATACTATAACTTAAACCCACAAGAGAAGATCAAACTCTAATGCCGAGATAACGAAATCAAACCTGTTGTTCCATTCCATTCTAACTTTCTTATCGAGTTTCCCATAAGCACTGAAGAGCAAAGGGCTTATGAAACCAGTCAAGTCATAAACCTACAGAACAAAAACAAGAATTGAACAAACCAGTCAAGTTATAAAATCCAGATTCTTGCAACTATCTTTGCATCGTAGACTTAAAGGGCCAAAACGACTTACGATTTTGCACATGAGAATACCGGAACAAATAGATGCAGGCAAGACGACTTGTCTCGAATAGACGAAACCATCATCATCATCACCAGGAAATGCGAAATTGGTCGTCATCAAAAGATTCTTGCTTTGATGCGATTAATGGTTCGAACAGAGCTAATTGACAAAACCCAGAATCAAAAACTTATATATAGTCTCAAGAAATCGAAAAAAGAAACAGTTTTTTCGAAATAAGAATCCGATATTAAAAAGGTGAAAGCAAAACCTAGAGATGGGTCAAAGAGTAAACCTGAGGAATCGTCCAAGAACAAAAGATGAGGAGGAGAATCAACGACAGAAGAAAACGTGAACCCGAGGAATCTCTCTATCTGGGTTCGATTTCGATACTGGTCCCGCTCAATTACAATCCTCAGATGTCGAAATTGTCAAAAAGTTTCGAGCTTTCTCTCTCTCTCTCTCTCTCTCTCTCTCTCTCTCTCTCTCTCTTTCTATGCGGGAAGAATTTAATAACTCGCACCCGCCATTCGCGTCGTTGGTAAGTAATTATATGTTGCTTCACTATTTGGGTTTCGTGATTAAAATGATCTGGAGCCAGAAAGTTCTTCCCTTTTAATCTATTTTCATGTGAAGATTTGGGAAATTTTGAAAAGGAGCATTTATTGTTTACCCAAACAAGTGGATCGTTTCGTCAATTCACACAAGACGTGGTAGTGGTGACTTGGTTTGGTTGAACAATTAAACACCATTTAAAAGTACCATCTTTAAAACAAAACTAAAGTTTTGACCATTCCAAAATCAAGAAACTATACAAATGGAAATATTGTGACGTTGACTGACCAACTGTTCCAAAAGATTCTCACTATCCGTCTCCAATGTTGTTGTTGCATTTGGAGGAGAATATTACATGCGAATGTAGCGAGCACATGTAGATGTAGTAGAAGTTGTTTGGTTAAATCAAATTATTACATTTGAGGTTTTTATATTCAAAACTCATAAACCAAAGAAAGTGAAGTTATTAAACAAACTATCAACCCAAGTATATATACTACTTTTTTATTAAAAAAAAAGAGTATATATACTACTTCAGATTAGGAAACAGTTTAGTTTTGTATAATGAAGAATCATAGGCTTTATTGGGTATAATTTTAGTATATTACCATTATTAGATTTAATAATTCTAAACTCAATACAAATTGAGTAAACCCAAAAGAAATCAATGGTATGAAAAAAAAGGGGAGCAAATTCAATAATAACTGGATAAGGGTTACTAAAGATTTGAGAAAGTGACCCAATTCCAACATTATTACTAAGTATAATCATATAAAGAAGGTTGGCGTTTGATTCTTAATCCAAATTAGGGTTAATAAGGTGGACTCTATACAAATAAGAGATGATAGAGACACATAACAAAATAAAGGAAAGAAGGAGATTCTATGGAAAAAAAACCTCAAATTAGAAACGAACATTTTCTTTTGCAATTCAACATTTCATAGATCTACAATGTCTTGACTTGTTTCTTGCAATCAATGTTCATAAAGAGACACTTTCATATCTTTGATTACATTTTTTTTAATAACCCAATACTTTTTAATTAATAACAAAACATTAATATTAGAATAGACGAAAATGTATAAAACTAACATGAGATATAGTTTACGGTAGAGATACAACTGCAAGCCTAGCTGGATGAACATGAACACAAGATAATAAAAGAGGATGTTGCGTCAATTAGGGAAGAGAGAGCTCCCTTATGATCAGAGATCGCTGGGGAACGCCATGTTCGCCAAAGACACTAGGTATCAACCTATGCTTCAATTACATTATCCGGAAACATATTCATTCAAAATACCATCAAACCCTTATAACATTGAAAACGATCATTGGCTCCATGTCCTAGATGTGGTATCACTAACAAGACCACATGAGAAATCCTTGATCATCTCACTAAAGGACGAAACTTACTGTTTTTGGGTAAAGATACCTCGTATTAGGTGGAAGTTAATCAAGAAGCAGCTCCCAACTCTTATATAGAAGCAAAATTTTCAAAACATTGGGAAGACATAGAAAAACCAATAAAATGATTACCATGGTTGCTCTACCGATATATATGAGAATTTTAAAATCATATGTTACATTATTTTCTTCAGTATGAACATGTTCACCAAGATGTCAAGAAAATTTACATACCTATTGTTAGATTTTTTAAGGTGATCAGGGAAGTTTTTAATTTCATTTTCTTTTCTTTTACGATTGATTAAATTTTGTATTCTATTTTTATTTTATGGGTTCTACAATATTAAATTAGGTAAATTTACATATATAATATATTTAATTATTAGAGACTTCAAATTTTATATAATAAAAAATATTTTATTTTTTTATGTTAATGATTTATAATTTCTTTTTATGTTAGTATTATACCAAAATATATAATAAAAATTTATTTTACATGTATTGAAATTTGATCAAGTAATTAACACATGTTGTGATCATATTGTTGGGCTTGTTAAAATATTTCATGGGCTTTGATCCATATAATCATTGAAATTCATGTCCACTTAACTAGTCATTGTAATATTCTTTAACGTGACGCTTTCTTTTGTGCGAATCTTTAGATCAAATACTATTTCAAAACATATCGACATAAGAAGTTATTCATCGATGTTATAGCTCTAATTTGAATCGATTTTGATCCATATATCGATTTTATTAATAAAACAGCCTCGTCTCCAAGGTACGTACAACAGCAAACCAACAAAGAAAATCAAACCACACAAAGTATATTATCATACAGACACTATTAGAGGACATTGACGAGACAAGTTCGCATGCACACATAGAGCGTGGACTTGTAGTCACATCGCCTTTTATTCATCACACAAGCTTCCAAAGCTTTTCACATCATTACATTATTATTAATCTTACAGTAATAGTATTAAGTAAAAGACTTGTGAACAAGTCCCTCACTCCACTTAACGACGGAAGCTCCTAACCTGACGAGGCGGGTCGATCTCACTGTCGTTAAGCTTGACACCTGTGTAGACGGCTGCACCGGATATGGCACCAAGTGTAGGAGCCACCAGATAAACCCAAAGTGACCTGTAGTTTCCTGATGCAACTGCTGGTCCAAGAGTCCTCACTGGGTTCATAGATCCACCACTCGATGGCCTGTACAAAACTCAAATGTTTTAGAAACCTTTTTGATGCAAATGACACTAAACAAAGCTTAAGGAGCCTTTAACTGGACTTACCCTGCGACAAGAATATTAAGCATGACAGTGGCTCCAACAGCTATACCAGCCAATTCTCCAACCTGCTCATTAAACTCAATAAGAGAATTCATTTAGGGCTAGATATATTGTAGATACAAAAACCAAAACCAACAGAGAAAATTCATTTGCCATTTGCGTTTACAATGTAAAATAAAAGTCATGAAAAAAATAAGATATTATTTTCTGAAATATGATATACTAAACAGCGAACCTAAATGCAAAAAAAGTTTGCGTAGGTTACAAAAGTATATATAGTATCGCTGTTTTTTTTTTTTCAAACACTCTAAATAAAAAAATAAAATATACATTAAGAAGATGTAGCCGTTTTATTTTATTAAAGCCAAATAAAGTGTGTAAAAATAAATTGTCAAAAACCAAACCAAAGAAGAAATTTCGTTTGCTAAAACAGAAAAGGTAAAATTGCAAAAAAGTTTGCGTTTTAAAACAATATGTAACCAGCTTCCATATATAGAATGGAGTAGAGAAAGAGAGACTTACGGCACGAGTGTCGGTGGCGACAGCAGTAACAACAAAAAGGAGAATGAAAGTGATGATAAACTCAAGAGCAAAGGCTTGTCCGACACTAACAGATGGAACAGTGACACCTCCCGACATGAAAGGATGGAAAACTCCTTTGAGTGCGAATGAAGCGCAAATGGAAGCTGAGACTTGAGCCGCTATGTAAGCTGGCACGTGGGCCCAAGGGAAATGCCTTAGAGCTGCAAATGCTATGGTCAATGATGGGTTTAAGTGAGCTCCTGAGATGTGACCGGTTGAGAGAATTATGATCATCACTGCGAGCCCGGCACATGCCGCGTTACCGATTAGAGTTTCAGCTCCGTCGTATTTCTGGTTCACGATTGGACCGGCCGTCGCGGTGAATATCAAGATGAACGTTCCAACGAACTCTGCTCCAAGCTGCATAACACACACACACCCACACAAACACACATAAGAATACAATGATGAACAAGTACTACTGCTATAGGAATAGTGGCTATACAGAGAATTCTTGTGTAAGAGTGATTTTTCTTTAAAATAAAAACTAGTGTATATTATTATAACGAAGCTGCTACAAAAGTCAAAAATTACTAATTATTTTTATGAGAGATCAAAGTTTATGTCAGAGACTCATGGCTGGTTTATGTTACTGGCATAGTTTCAAGAAATTACCCACAACTATCACTAAATGAAATATATGGATCTTTTATGTTATTATAATTTATAAATGGATCATGTAATTGTATGTAGAATTGAGAACTTTTTTTATTTCAACTGCAAAAAAAAAAAAAATCAATAATCAGTTAAACACAGTCAACGGTTAGTATTTATCGTATGAGCTGTCCATATTCTCACCTCACTTGAACCAGCATCAATCAAAAAAGAAAAATCATACGGAAAAACCCATTATATAATTAGTACTAATCATTATACCGCGTAATTCCTAGATACATCCTTATTAATAGTAGTTAATTCTAGGAAGTAATATTATTGGATGATTACAGAAAGACAGGAGCCATATGGCTGCTTCCGTCATGGACAGAAGAAACACTCACAACTTTAACAAACAAAAAACAAAAAAAACGCTCACAACAATTAAATGAATTGTAAACCTAACCGCACCATACGTAACATAAAATTTGCACAAAAGTTAAAATATAATATAGATGTAATAATAAACTAAGTTGTATTCGTCACTTGAATACCAATAAATCTTTTTATTTGTGTGACGGTTTTGTTTTGCATCAAAAGAAAATTAAATTACATTTATGCAACTTGCGTGTATAAAATATGTCATCGTATTCAAATATCAAGACTCATTGTGAATTTTACCCTCACAAAATAATATACTAGTAATACAATATATATGAAAATGAGGAGAGATCGGTGTCCATCGAATAATTTAAGTTGGGGTGGGCCTTAATTAGACTTATACCATTATCTCTTATTGTATCTTGTTTCTGTAGAGCTATTTTATTAATATTTATTTCGTTTACATTTGTCACACTCTCTTTCTCTATTTGCCAGTTTCATTTAATTTTCGGTTGCGACTTCTCTAGTCCATGTCGTGTTACTATCTCCTCCAAGTGCGACGTAAACCCCATTTGATCTTTTTCAATACAAGTATTTAAAAAGAATATATAAAGAAATACTATTATCTTTTGGTGCTACTTCTCTCCATTTCCGAGCTTACGAAAACTAATGAAACATAAATGTGCGATCGGTTTCTGAGTTTCCGTATAGTACATCTGTGTATAATAAATTATTAGCCTCCCGATCTCATTGAGCTATATCTAACTATATATTTTTTTTGTTCAAACGTCAATTTCGATGTTCTTTTAATACATAAGTTCCGTAGGAGAAAAATAATCAAGCAAAAGGAGCAAGAAGAGGAGTGTTTAAGTACCTTGCGAGTGAGCGAGACGCCAGGAGCGGGAAAATCGGCGAAACACGTGTCGTGTTGACCCCAAGTGGGTCCCATAACCGGCAAGCATTTGCATGGAGGCATCGGTTTCCGATGATCGAATGACATTGAATCCACTCTCAACCCTGTGATCAACGGTCCTCCCGGCGTCCCTGGCGTCGGAGGAGCCGTCACCGCCACCGCACCCATCTCAGCCTCCGGTGGAGCCATCCCCGAAGTTTTGTTTTTTATGTTTTTTTTTTTGTTTGAAGAAAAATACTAAGTTCTAATTTTTTGGGATTTTTTGGTAGGGAAATGAAATAAATTGATAGAGACGAAATTTACATACTTTGAAGTTTTTTTAAATTTGGGTTTACACTTGTGTTTTAAACTTAGCCAGGACTAGTTTCACCAAACACAAATTAAAACGAGAGAGACACCAATAAATGAAAAACTTATATATCAAACAAAAACTTTTTTTGGGTTTTTTTGTGAAGGAAGAAATTGGATCTGGGTGACTTAATTTACATGCTTTCTAGGATTTTTATAAAGCTGTTACTACGTTGTAAGAAGAATAAGAACGAAGATAGCCACCGCACAAAAAAGAAAACAAAATCAAAAAGCGATTCTTATTAAAAGCAAAGGATAACAAACACATAGAGATGCGTACGTTACTACTGAACAAATACTTATTCTCAAAAACTGAGGTTCTGAAGAAAAAGAGAGAGAAAGAATTGGATGAAGATGATGAAAGGTTTGGTTAGTGTTTGAGCTTATGTTATATTTATGTGTTTGTGTTTATATAGATAAAGAGATTATTATGCATTGAACCGGAAAAAAAGATCAATTATAAAAAGTCAACTCCAATATCTTAATGCTTTTATATAACAGCTTCATTCATGTTACTGACTCCCTTTTGAGAGATTGTGATGATCTGCTAGAGTCACTGATGATTTTGTCACAGGCATCTTCGTTACCGTTCGATCTAAGCATATTTTCTGAGTGTGACGCTTAGGAATCGCACATGCACCGTGACGGTAACACTCGTTCGCCACCCCACGACCCTCCAATAATGGAATATAAAAATGTTCTCAAGTCTAGGGAAGAGCGCTTGATTCGTGGAACAATATAGTATAATATAGTATAATGAGAACCAGTTTCGTTTTTTTTTTTTAATAAAGGGTAAATATCAAAATTTAATGATTCTGAGACGGGCTCTAAGTGAAAGTGCAGATGCATGAATGGAGAAACAAAATCAAGCTTTTGTAACTAGGAATTTGGTTTTTTAAATGGATATAACTTCTAAGAAAGGGAGTATTATATATATGTGATGCAGCTAAACACGTGTGAATGATAACATTTACAATACTGGAAAAAGGTCGTTGAAGGAGGCAAATTCAAGATAATATATATTTGGGTATAGTTACGATTGCCAGTTTATTTAATGTAAAAAATCTCGCTCTGAATGTAGACAACATTTTGTGTATATGTAAATCCAAATCAACCAACTGAATAACAAAAACAAATTAAGTTGTGTGCTACAGCGGAAATGGAACCCTAAACAGTTAACAATTGTTAATTATCTCTTTTTCTTTACCGTCTATGATTTATTATTCTACTATAAATTATAAAAAATTTACAAAACAGTGATACAATGAATAATATAATACCCACGACAGCGTTCACAAATCATGCATAGTAAACAGATTTGTTTGCACTATGTTATAAACTTTTTGTAAACTTTGCTTCCATAAATTTGTATAAATTGTATCATTTGAAAATCGAATTTTAAACCTTGAAGCAAGGTTTTTGAGGCTTTTGTATACTTTAAAGTAATCTTAATCTCTAAATCAGTTGTAGTATAGGGATTTAAGTATCAAATACATTTGTGGATGTTGAGATACAAACAATACTGTAAACTAAGTAGAATTAAAGATTATGATTATGAAATAGTAATCATAATAACCTAGCAAGGCAGTAAAAGATAGCAGAACTGAAGTGCAAGATGAATCTAAAGCAAAAACTAAACAAGGACTAAATAGAAGAACAATTTAAACAATACTAAGCAAGGTGAAGACTGAATTTAAACTAGCAAAGATGACTAAGTAAGATAATCTTAAGACAATTAATAAAATGCAAGACTCAAGGTTCTAAGCAATAATGAGATTAGTGGCTTTCAAGAGTGACAAAGGGGATCTCTAGTAAAGGCAGACATCAAGTATTTATAAGCAAGTAATTCTCAATGTTGTACTCCTAGACAATGTATCTAAAAAAAATCAGCTTGGCATCAATAACCAATTCATATTCAATAAGATTGAAGTGTCAAACCCATTTGCGATGGTGTATTCTTCAACCATGAGCATAAAAATCAGAACCATTCTAGCCTAAGAGAAGTACTAAGCAAGTAAACAACTCTCACCCAAGAAAGAATTCAGATCAATCTATCAATCTTGTGAACCATATAGGGACCTAGGTAGCTAACACTAATCAAGAATATGGACTTAAGCACACAGTTGCGAAATCCTAACAATGCTAAGCAGTGAAAAGGAATCAAACAAAGTCAAAATCTTTCAATGCATACTATCTAACCATCAAGCAAGAACCTCATAGCCAACATTATCTAGCCTTAAGCAAATCATCTAGCAAGATGAACTATCACTTTGGTGTCACTGAACAAAGGAAACATAGACCAAGCTAGACTATCAAACCAAATAAGCGAACCATGCATAGAAATGAGATATCAAGCCATCAAGTGAACCATAAGCATCAACAACACCATATTCAATCAAAAGGAGGAAGCTTTATGAACAATAATTACTTTGCAAGAGAAGGAGACAACCACTACAAGAAAACATGGACTTCGCGACTACAGAAATAGTTGCTAATCAGTCGCAAAACAAATTTTTGCGACTAATTCGCGACTAAGATGAGTAGTCTCTAATATTTCGTCGCTAATCCCATTAGTCGCTAATTAGTCGCAAAGTTGTGACTGATTAGCGACTACACATATGTCGAATGAAAACAGTCGCAAAATTTAGCGATTATTATGCGACTATATGACGACCAAGTTGTGACTGTTATGTAGTCGTAACATATGTAGTCGCTAAAATAGTCGCGAATTAGTACGACTAATTAGCGACTGTTTAATAGTCGTTACATCTGTAGTCGCGCAATAGTCGCTAAATATTGTGACTGATTAGCAACTGTTTTGTAGCCTACGTAGTCGCGAAATAGTCGCTAAATGTTGCAACTGATTAGCGACTGTTTTGTGACTACTTTGCAACTAAATAGCGACTGTTTTGTGACTGTTTTACGACTGATTAGCGACTGATTAGCGACTGTTTTGTGACTACTTTGCAACTAAAGATAATGTTTTGTGGTTTCTTTTTTATAGTATGGAACCAAAAGAAGGATAAAAAACCAAAAAACAAGATAAGGTCAACGAAAATCAGATGGTCAACGTGCGGATAAGTTGTATTGGGGTTGTACGTACGTTGTTCTGCTCGATGTACAACCCCGATATGGCTCGTGCAGCGCGTATTGGCCTGTGCAGCATTCCCTGCTTGATGTAGCACCTCGATGCATCCACTGCCTTATACTCCTCTATCCGATCTGCATCTCCACGTCTCGCGGCTCACATCGGACATACTCCAAGGAGGTTCTGCTCAATGCTTCTCCTTGATATGGGACTAAACTTTGCAAAAATCCTTCTTTGGCATCTTCTTCGAATGGAAGCTGCTTCCATTACCTCCCCAAGTTGTAAAACCTCCATAAACACCTGAAAAGCACCTCAAACATGCAAATATATGCATATGTATGCAATTTTAAACTAAATGCATGCAATATTGATTCTAAATGCAAATGAGACTAAAATGCTAAACTATAATGCAAAAATAAGAGAAAAGATGCAAAAAATGCAGCCTAAAATGCTCTAATATAGCAAGCTATTAACCTCTTGATATACAAACATTAGTCAACTATTTGGTCAAATTACCCTTTTATCTAAAAAAAGTAATTAGAAAACAATTCATTGGGTAACCATTTCCATATTTATATATTTTTGATTTTTCATTCAACTAAATTTTTAATGACATAATTATCAAATATTAGATTATAACTCATACATCAGCGCAGAATAAATATTTTTTATTATAATTTTTAATATGAAATGAAAATTGTAATTAATTTTTCTAGTGTTGAAAATATAAAATGAGAAATAAAGCATCTGAATTTGAGTATACTAGATATTTACCCGCGCTATGCTGCAGAATATTTTTGTAGATTTTATATATATTTTTAATATAATAAAATTATTTTTATATGTAAATAAGTTTATATTTATTTTTTTATTAGCTAAAGTTATGTATTTATATGTATTAAATCTGAATAAACATTATATATTCTTAATTTTTTATATTTTAATATTATAATCTACTATCAAATTTGTTTAACTAACTATCAATAAATGTATATGTAAGAATAAAACAATACATTTTAATTATCTTCATGTTAACAGCAAATGTAATTTATTTTCTCTACTAAATTTCACTTGATCTTTTTTTTAAATTATATAAATCAAATTACTATTTTTAAAAAAATTATTAATTAATATGATTATTTTGAGTTATAAAATTTATTTATTTATCAAATATTTATTTATAAACATATGTTTCCAAAACTACCAAATTATAATCAATAACATTCATATCAAAACTATTGTTATTGTTTTAAAACTAAATAAAAAATTATGTTTGAATTTTTCAAATATCAGTTTAGTTAAAGTTAAATAATTAAATTTAGGTTACTGTAAACATATTGCAACTTGAAAATTTAGCAAAGAGAAATTTTATCTTCTTATAAAAACCGAGAAATTGCATTTTCTGATAAAAAAAAAAAAATTCACGAAACTGAGAAATCGCCTATTCTTGTCGTAACAAAAAAAAAAAAAATTTCTCATCAAGATTGAAATTTCATTTCCCACCAAAACAGAAAAATTGCATTTTTCTGCAAAAACTAAAAAATCACATTTTCCTCCGAAAACATATGTTTTCCCGCCAAAACAGAAAAATCAAGTTTTTTCACCAAAACCAAAAAAATTCATCTTCCTGCAAAAACCAAAAAAATTGTATTTTCCCGTCAAAATCGAAAAATTCATTTTTTCCCTTGAAAACCGAGACATTGTCTATTCCTACCAAAACAAAAAAAAAAATCATTTTTCTCATCAAACCAAGAATCATGCCTTCCTACCAAAACCGATAAACTATAATTTCCTGCGAAAATCAAAAATTGCATTATCTCCTGAGAAATTATGTTTTCCGCGAAAACTAAGAGATCGCATTTTCTCGCGAAAACCAAAAAATCACATTATATGTCAAAAAATGAAAATTTTCATTTCCCATCAAAACCGAGAAATTGTTTATTCTCTCAAAAATTGTTTTCCCATTAAACCGAGATTGCATTTTCTGCTAAAATCGTCAAATTACAATTTCCCGCAAAACTAAGAAATTATATTTTCCCCCGAAAATCAAGAAATCACATTATCCATCAAAAGCTGAAAATTTACATTTCCTATCAAAACCGAGAAATCGTATTTTTTGTCAAAATTGAAAAGTTGCATTTCCCTCGTATTTTCTTTTTAAAACTAAGATATTTTGTTTTCGCATCAAAATCAATTTTCTTTTCCACCTAAACCAAAAATTTACAATTTTCCGCCAAACTCGAGAATTCGCTTTTTCCGCCATAACCGAGAAATTATGTTTTCCTACCAACACTGAAAATCATATTTTCCTACCGAAACCAAGAAATTCCCTATTTCCGCCAAACACATGAAAATTTGTTCCCTGTAACCACCGAAAATGCGTATCTCCAAGTTGTG